CCTTGTTTAAACCAAACACTATTAGATCAGTGTGATGTTTCTTTTAGAATTGGTACAGCAAAGCCCTATGTCTCAAAACACTTATCAGAACATTTCAAAGTAACAGAACTTCAATTTCAAAATTATTAGAGTAGGAGTTCAGAAGAGAGAAAAGTTAATTCTGCAAACGGAGTTATAAATCTATTTTGATACCAGAGCCAGGAGCTAGTGAAGGAAAGGTGCTTCCATTCCTCAGCAGAGTATTTTCCTCACCTCACCCTCTTCCCACAGCGTTTTGGCTTGTGTGAAATATTAATACTAAAGTAGATAACAAGCTATTGACTAGAGTGCAAAAGAGCCTCAAAGACCCTTCAGGGTTGGAACAGTGCTAGGGAGACTGACTGACACATAAACCTGTATTAAAAAGGCTCCATTTTCAAATGATCTTAAAATATTGAAAATTAAAGTTTAAATATACTTACTTTGTATGCAGGATGATAAAAGCAGTTTAACATCAGTGTAAAGACACCTACAAATTATAATTTATTACCTCTATGATTGTGACTGTTTATTATTTACAGGGAATTCTTTTTAGTTTAGCTATATTCTCAGAAAGATTTTTTGTCACTAAGAAAAAACACACAGGAGACTACAAGTATTGCACTGTGCTCCAAAAGGTTACCTTGATAGACTGGAACAGGTAAAGAATACCAACAGCTCTTACTACCATCTCATTTTGGTTTTGATTTTGTAAAAAATGTCAACAACAAAAAAGCTTAAATTGTGAACATATTAGGCACACAATCAGAAATAGGGATATTTTGTGAAACTGGATATGAAATATGAATTTCCAACAGCACTTTAGAAGTAGGTATTTATTTGTATGATGGTAGTGAACTGAGCAGCTGCTGAGAAAACTCTGGGTGTGCACATGAATTCCCATGTATAAAATAAGTCAATCTTCTAGAACAGGTAATCCTGAATTTAATCTACTACTACAGTACAACTACTGCTGTAGGTTATGGCAGCAACACCTTCACCTTCCATGACAGTATGCAGATAACTTTAATTTTCTAAATTAACACTTCCTCACACATCTTTCTACCATATTGTCCATTACCCCAAAAAGAGATTTTGGTCCCAATCACCTCTATTCCTACGAGTTCCTCTCTGTCTTAACAACCTAGGTTTTTCAATCACGCATTGTGCCTGAGTCTTGTGCTAGGAGTGTCAGTTCCCAGTTCTCTTCACATGTAAGGTAGAAGCAGGCGGTTTTGCATCACTTCAAAATAGTTTGCATGCCATGAATTGTCTAAGAACCAGAGCTTAGGAAACGCTCAGCTAGAACGTGTCTGTTTTGAGAAATTTATTGTAGTATCACATAATCTAAGATACAACTTTAACATGGACTTTGAACTTTGATAGGGCTTTTTATTCAATCTTCTTCTCTATATGGTAAGTTTCTTTCACAGTGAAGCTTTGGTTTGCTGACTAAAACTCTTTAACATTCTTTCAATAAATGCAATTCCACTGAGCCCACCAAAAGCAAACAGCATGTAGCAACGAGTGATTTAACAGGTAGTAAAGATAACACCACATATTTAACCTAAGGTTCATATTGCTCTAACAAAACACAGAAAAAACTTTAAAAGTTTTATATTTCTGTGGAGTATTCTGTCCTCTGGGAACTCCAAACTATTTTATAAGTTGATTAACCAGTTATGCAAAGGCTGCTTTACCTAACACTGAGCTGAGGCATGTAGCCCTTTTAAGTACAATGGAGCAGATGTTCCTAATCAAGACAGGCCTGTGCTATACCACAGTTTGAAAAGAGTGGAAAATAGATTACGAAATTCCTGTAGAAAAACTGCATACAATACAACTTTTCAGTTTTGACTTCTGATAATATCTCTAGGCAAACAACGCTGATGACCTGAGAAAAGTGAGGTAACGGTCTGTTAACTTCAACAGAAGAAAAAGATAGTTGGTGTTTTACAGGTTAAACAATGAAATGTACAGGGAGGCCATGAGACCTGGTGTCTACTGTAGACTAAATCTGTCCTGTGATGCTTTCCAATACCATATTGATACATGTTACTGGTGTTGACTCAGGCCACCTTCGGTAGCAAGAGAATAAAAAGGTAAAATATAGCAAGCTTGAGCTATCTGCAGTACTTTAAATATATTTGCTTTCAAGACATATGAACACCACTACCACAATTTCTCCTTAGTTACGGCATGTCAGATTTGACATACCCACAGTCCCACTTCAATGGAATCTATATATGTGGCTCTGACAGCACAACTTAACCCTTAAGATTTACTAGGCACTACTATGCTTACTGCTGGTATGTCTAGGATGATGGTACCCTCCCTGCACTAAACAGAAAACACTAATGCTTGTTATACTTTTTACTAATTAACATTTTTATAAACACATCGTAAAGCTCTTTCTTATCTTCATATAAGCTTAGCAGAAAAACATCATGCATTTGTGGGGGAGTGTTTCTACTGAAGACTTTTTTTAATGTATCCACATCAAAAACTAAGCCTATCTGGTAAATTCCTGTATTTTTGGAACATGGATGCAAAACTCATCTCCTTACTCATTATGCTAAGTTTCCTGTCATAACAGCATTTACACAGTTGTCACAAGTTCATCAAGCATCAATATATCTATTGCACATGGTTTTATGATCCTGCTTCCCCAGTAATTCCAAATCTAATTCCAGTCCAAACCGGCTAGCTTAATGCAAGTGTTGCTGTGTTTAGATGGCATGTTTTTTAGATGTTGCTGGTTACTCCTCCAAACACGTTCCTAGTAACAGTGTGATGTGTAAATTACTTCTGTGAAACACCTCATAGTTACAAAACCAAAAAGTGAACAATCTGCTCTTGCAAAACTGGTTTCACATTTATAGAGATGGAGTAAAAGGAAAGAGAGCTTGTTCTGGAGCTTGGACCTGACAGAAATATTACTCAAATATCATAAATTATTTATGTTGGTACTTATTTCTAAAAGCCTGTCAGATTGATTTATAGCCACATCATTTATGGATAAGCCACTTTAGTCATTGCATGGAAAAGAGCAAGCTTTTTAACTGAAGAGTAATGGTTTGGGACTTCCAGGGGAAAAGCAGCCTGTTCAATTGTAACTGTAGAAAGCCTGTCATTTTGCCAAATGCAATTACTACACAAGAGATTAATCCAATCTGGAATCTGAAACATCTGAACCCTATAAGAGCTGTAGGAAATCTGTCAAACTACAGATCAGAAAAACTATTGTGATACAGGCAGAGAAGATGCTTCTGGCAGCACAACCATGTTAAGCTGACACGCTAATTATGTTACCACAAAAAATCTAGAGCTTTCAAGCTCTCAATTTTTCTGTTTTGCCCTAGGTTGACACTGTTTATTTTTAAATGGAAAATCATTTACGTTTGAAGTTGACAGATTACTTCAGGCATAGGCAAGCCAATACCTATTTTCACCCTTCTGCTTTCTTAGGCAGCAGTGTAAAGTATCTGTTTCTGGAGATACTTTAGGCTTGGGAGAAGGGCCTGTATACTATAGCATGCACTTACCTGCACTATATTACTCTTCAGAAATTAATTTTAAATGGATTATGTGCTTCTACAGTTGTAAAGGAAGTTCGGGTTATTAGGACCTCAGTGTGTATCAGTGATCATGATTGTGAGAGGTCTGAATTGCTGTATTTATTGCAACAGGATATTAATTCGAATAGTGATAACTTATATGTCAATAACTTTGTGATTCCTTAGGTAGTCTTACAGATCTATCAAATTTACTACAAACTCTCATTTTAGTGCCCCCTGGGAATAATGGCTATGTAAGTCAATGTTGGGTTTGGTTGCTTACACCTTGAAAATGCAAAGAATCAAACTAGAAAGATCCCTGAGCAGGTCATTTGCTCTATCTTCCTGGATGAAGGCAAAACTGTTAACACAGCTGGTTTGGAAAAGACTTTTGAGATCAAGTCCAGCCATTACCCCAGGACTGTCAAGTCCACCATTAAACCATATCATTAAGGCTCTTGTCTACATAGTTTTTGAACACTTCCAGGGACAGTGAGTCAACCATTTCCTTGGGCAACCTGTGCCAATGCTTGACAACCCTTCACACAAAGAAATCTTCCCTGTATATCCAATCTAAACCTCCCCTCCTCTAAATTATTTCCTATTGTCCTATCGCTTGTTACTTGGGACAAGAGACCGATCCCCACCTCTCTCCATCCTCTTTTCAGGCAGTTGCAGAGTGATGAAGTCCCCTCCTGAGCCTTCTCCTGTCCAGACTAAGCTACTCCAGTTCCCTCGGCCGCTCCAAGGCCTGCTTCAGCACAATTCTAAGGACGGAGTATTTATCAGGGAACGGAATTGTTCCCCGTGTAAGCGTGCTTAAGAGGCAGTGAGGCTGTGTAAAAGCTTTGGCACTGCCTCTGAGGCTCCAAACACCGAAACCGCCGCAACCCTGAGGCCCCTAGGGCCTCACAGCCGAGAGGAGCAGTAGGGTTGGTGCAGGGGAACCACGCGGGAAGGGGCGGGCAGCGGGCACAGGGCTGGCACCACGATCCCCACCCCATCAGGCGCTGCCCCTCTGCCGGCGCCGCCAAGGGCTCTCCGCTGAGGAATCACCACACTCCCACCCTCCCCCTGGGGCGCCCGCCAACGGCTGCCCCTCGCTCGCCCTTCGCCCACCGGGTGGCTCAGCTGGAGGGGCCGCCACCGTGACCACCAGTGAGGGGAACGAAGGGGAGCTCTTCCTGCCGGCCGCAGTACCTGGGCCTGGGAGAGGGCCGTCCGCCAGCGACAGTTCACAGTTCCCGCCCTGCGCCGGAGGAGGTGGAGGAAGGCGGGAGTGACACCCGGAGCAGCCGCTACGGCAGGGGACAGGAGCCAAACTTCCTATGGGAGCGCTTAGCGGTGACGCAAGCCCACGGGGAGGGAGGCAGGGAAGCCCGGCCCGCGAGCGCGCGCCGTGAGAAGGGCGGGGCTGCGGGGCGCCGCGCTCCGGCGGCGGGGGCGGGGCCTGCGCGTGTCTCGCGCCGGGGGCGCGGGAGGGGAGCGGCGGAGCCGGAGCGCGCGCAACGAGAGGCGGAGAGGCACGCGCGTGGAGCCGACCTCACCTCCCCTCACCGCCGCCGCTGCCGCCGCCTCGCTCTGCCCCGCGGCCTGACAGGCAGGTGAGGGGCCTCGTTCGGGGCGGGGAGCGGGGTTACGGCTTCCCACCGGCCACTGGGGGGAGCCCGGGCCGGGGCGGGGCCTGCGGGAGCCGGTAGCTGCGGGCAGTCGCCGGGGCTGGGCAGGGGTTGCGGTGGTGGCGGGGCCTGTCGCCACGGGGCTGTCGGTCAGGTAGGTCCGATTCCGGTGGTGGGTTCCCCGGGGGTTCCGTGGCCTGTCGGCCGGCCGGAGAGAGAGGGCGCCCGGGCGCGGCCGGGGGAGGTGGCTGAAGTGGGGGGGGGGGGGGGTCGGGGCCTCGCCACTGCCGGGCCCCTGCATGCTGTCACCGCCCGGGGGCTGAGTCCCGGCCGCCCTCCCCTGGCCCGCGAGGACCGCGGAGGGGACGGCCACATCATCCCGAGCTGGCCCGTGTCCTGCCGGGCATGGCTCACGGTGGTGGTGTGCTGGGGCAGGTTTGGGTTTGGGTTTGCCTCGTACCGTAGTAGATCCTTCGTGCTCTTATTCGCCTTCCGTATCGTATTTTTCCGCCCTTATTTTGCATGTCCTTGGGAAGCGCACGCTTTTGTTGTCTTAGTCACATCGTCTGAGGTAATGGTGAGCAGTGTCTTTCTGCCTGAACCTCACGGCGGGGTTGGCTTTTTGTATTTTTTTCCCTGTGAATGTCATACCGTCATGTCTCATATATTTTAAGGCATCTACTACAAAGTAAGTGTCAGCTGATACGATGCTTTGTTTCTGAATCTGCTGCCATCCTGAAGCGTGTCTCAGGAACTGCTTTCTTTCCACATCTGTCTTGTTTGTAACGTGAACTCTACATCTTAATTATGAAGTGTACAATTTATCTTACATGGAATGTTACGTGCGTGCTGGAAGTTCACATCGTGGTTCAGGGCGACATGGTGTGAGATGGTTTAAAGTGGGACCCCAATGGGAATGGGAGAGGCTAGGAGATGGGGAAAAAAAAGATACAAGGAAACACTTATGGAAGTGGTGCTGGGGGAAAGCAGTACAAAAGCCAAGAGAATCAAAAGCAGATGGGTCTGAAAAAAACTGTATGTTTAACACGTTATCCAAACTCATTTTGGGGTCACATTGGTATATGCAGAGTGGTTGTAGCTGGATAATGTGTTACCTCAAATCCAACAGGCTGTAAGCAGAAAGTTGTCTCGTTTGACTGCAGAGTCATAATTCTTAAACAAAAGCCAACTCTGCTAGGATGTCTACAGCAGTAACCTCCACCAGCTGCCTGCCCTCCTTTTCTCCTGGAGGTTGCTGCATCTATAGCAGTAGATGTCTGTGTGTACGTCTCCTCCTGAGCTGCTGCGATCTACAGCCTGAAATGTTACTGAATTTTGTTTTGAAAACTGCAGCAGCTCAGATGCTTGCCCCAGTTCAGAGTCACTTATGAGTCAATACACTTACAGCCATATCAAAAGAGATTAGAAGAGAAAAATCACTGCCTTGCCCATGCTAGTATGAACAGAGTTGGTAGTACTAGAGTTGGTGCTGGTTTGTTGGGTTTTTTTCAGTAATAAAATATTTGGGCTAACCCACTATTTATTTAACAACTGAGACAGCGGTATTGAATGTAGGTCAGTTCTGGAAGTATAGTTCAGAACTTTATCACAGAACAGTGTTTCCCTGTATAGTCGAGTATATGACTTAACTATATCATCCAGATATCTGGAATTGTCTGGATCCATCAAGCTACAAACAGAGACTGCAGCTAGAATAAGTCTGGGATCTGCTGAGTGAAATGTGACTTTATCATAGTACTTGATATAATTTGAACTCTCTCCATCATCTCTAGGAAACCAATTTAGCTGTAATTAAATCACTGTAGGGATGTTAGCAGGTTTTCTTCAGTTCGGGTTTCTTCTCTCTGGGCTGTATTAAGGTAGCACGTTTTTTATAAGTCTTAGCATTTATCTTTGATCCTGTCACAATCTCTTATGAGAATTGCATTAACTTTTCCTCTCTAATATCTGGCTAATGGCCTGACTAGCGAAAAAGCAGGTCAGGTATTTACATGGCCTGTATCTTTTTCTTGAACTGCAGGTCTTGGTCATACAAGAAACCTAGGTTGGTTTTTTTTGTTTTGCTGAATCTGCCACTTTCTTGGTTCCTGGTAGCAGTTACCTGTGATGCTGCATGAATAGAAACATTTAACCATGCTATTGTAAACAGTGCATGAGCTCCTTTGATGCTGTTCCTTATTTTGTGAAGCAGGATACTCTGCCATTGTTATCCCTCCTTCCCTCACCCTTCCCTATTTTCAAGTCTATTCCCCCAAAGCCTCTGTTGTGTGAGGTTTGTTGCGACCATTACCTGGCTAAGCCACTTGAAAACTGTAGTACATTTAGAAGGTCTGTCTGTATGTACGGATGGATGCATGCATGAAGCTTTTTAAATAATCAGACTCATTGCTAGAATTAGGAAACAGTAATGCGCATTCTTGGATCTTGTGCCTACCCTGCTGTAAGAGCACTCTGGGTGATGAGGATTCGATCAGCTACTGCCAGTTTGAGCCAAGATTTTAACTGTGGCATGCAGTGTGCTGCCATATGGCAGTGGAAGAACATGAGACCCTAGGAAATCCAGCAGTGGTTTAGGAAAAACCTTATTTCTTAGTATGTGGGTTGTGTCACTGTTGTTAACACAACTTTGTTGTCAGGGTGAAATTATGATGGAAATTCTGTAGAAGTATGCTTTGCTTGGTGATGTTACCCATGGTGACTTTAGACTAGCTGTCTGTGTGGATTCACCAGAAGCATGGTTCTAGGTACTTCTGGGCTTTTAAAATATCTTTAATGCTTCTGTCATTTTGCTCCTCCTGTTGGGAAGTTGGTTGTTGGTTGCATGCCTCCTGGGGGGAAGAGAGAAACAGACATGTATGCAAACACATCGTATTTACTGACTGTATACGCTAAAAATTTGACATAAACTCTTTAGCCATACAGTGACAGGAAATTAACATCCACAGGTCTTCAGTCTTTTACGTAATTAGAAGAGTGAGAGTTCTTTTAATCAGTTGACTGAATGTGTTCTGACTCCTGTTGCTTTTTGTGTTTTGAACTTTTTTAAAAAGAAAAAGACACATGATACTTTTTATTGTTTATCTCTATTGTTTATTGTTCACATCTGCTTTTAAATTTAAAGACTTACATTTAGCTCCTAGTCATTGACAAAGCAAATCTTGATGCACATATCCAGCCTACTTACATGTGTCAGAACGTAGGTCAGGGAGGGACTGAATCCAGTCCCTGGTAAACCCAGGCAAGAACCAGCAGCTGAGAATGGTCCACAAGGTATCTTCATCATGTGCTAATCATCCTGTAACAAACTCTATGCTGCCAGTGAAATACTTAAAACTACAGGAGGGAATAGATGGTGGAACAGTGTCCAAGGCTAGCCATACCTTGGAAGCCTTGAAGTACGAGGTCCAGAAGAAGGAAGAAAAATTTCTGTTGGTACACAGCAGCCTGACAAAGGGAAAGAACTTGCCTGTGCACCCAGATTTAGTGACCAGGTTAACTCTTGGTGTACTGTCAACAGAACCACTTTAGTCTGACAAGGGAGATGAGGTGAGACCTTTGGAAACATCAGTAGCACCTCATGTTCTGCCTGGAGCGGAAGCTGACCTCCAGAGCTTTAGGGAAGAATCCTTGAAAACAAATGGTGCATCTCAAAGGGTAAATAGATATGAGTAAATAAAGGTTTAGCTGAAATACATGCATTTTTATAATAATAGTGAGCTTTTTTTTCTTCTTTTTTTTTGTGGTCTTGTTTTTTTTTTTTTGCAAAAAAATGCAAAGGAATTAAGTTGTGAATGTGAAAGTATATCCTTTATGCTGATATCAGAACTTAAGGGAATTCTAAGGAGCAAAACCTGATGTCAGTTACAACCGATTTTGCAGAGAAGCTGCTATAGAGTAGAGCATGTTGTGTGTCATCTTGCATCTTCCTTTCAGAGTAAGTAGATCTCATGAAAGGAAACATATATTTGCAGCAGACAGATTAACTAGGAAGGTGATGAATATTTCTGGTTCTTATTTAGAGGCTTTTGGGTAGTGTATTCTGCATGGGATATCTTTGTAGGAATGGGAGAAAGGAATGAGAAGCAGAATGGTGTCTGAAAAGGACAGATAGTCAAGATGTTTCCATGTTCTGTGTCGATTTAAAGTGTATGTGCACCATTTACACTAACCTTTCAAATTTAAAAAGGCTGTAACCTGAGTGTCAGCTTATGTTTAGAAATAAATTACTTTGCCAAGTACTGCTGCGTTTTTCCTCAAAATATTAGGGTCAGGGTTGCTGGCCTTCTTTTTACAAAAGGTTTGCAAGAATGTTTTTTGATGTGTCAGAGTCACCTGAAGATTATCAGGGATTTTTGAGATTTTTTTTCTGGGAAGATTTCTGTCTGTGTATGGGTGAGAATGTATCAAGTCCCCTCTTGTGTTTGGTGAAACAGAACAGGGGCACTGTTGTTTTCAGTGAACTTGGCAGATGTGCAAGTAGGTGAACTTCAGCATCGCACCTTCCACCCTTCTCCCAACAGCAAAACTAATCACGCTTTAAAAAAGATTGGACATAAACAGCTGTCAGTGCTTTGGCATCTCTTTATGTAGTGTCTGGGAATGAGAATCACAATATTAATTTAATTCATCCGTTTTGCTTTCTTGCTGTCAAGACCATGAGGATAAGACTATTTTGATAAGGATAAGCAACCCTAAGTTTCATGGGTTGAGTGCCTTGTGTCCAGCATTGGCTGGCTTGCAAACAATTTCCAAAGTGAACATTCTGCTGCCCTTTTTGTGTGCCCTAATCTACAATATAGTCCTAAGATAGACGCTTCACATTTTTTTATCTGCAGGAACATAGCAACTGTAGCTTTTGTAATTGTGGTGTGCACCAGAAGGTGACAGGAATCCAATTTCCCTCTTGGTCTTGGTTAACGCGCCCTGAGGTTGCGAATCTTTTCTGTTCTCTAATCAGACCCACT